CACGGGGTTTAAATTTCACTGATTTACCATTTCAGGCATATTCAGTGGGTTTTAAATTCACGGTTTCGTCATTTAGATAATGTGTTCTATGCTAAATTTTACATATTCACTGTGTTTTAATTTAGCGCATTTTTCCAGTCAGCGAAATAAGCTAAATTAAAACCCAGTGAATAATTACCCCCTTTACAGTATATTGCATTGAAATTCAATCCTTTCTATGACTCCTGAATAAATGCAGCTGCCAACAACCTTTACCAACCACAAGAAATTTGATTCGTTGATAGTTTTTTTTTTAACCAAGGTGCGAGAAGACAAAGTACATACTGAAAACATTTACGCGATAATTTGTATTGAAGCCCATGCTTGCAGTCTGTTATTCACTAATACATATTGCATAAACTGACATGATGTATGCCTTATCGCTTTAACAGATATTTAAGATACAGAAATTTTCATTTAAATTGAGTTATGAAGTGAAAAAGACATGAATGTTACATAACAAGAGCATAACCTTTGTGACAATTGATTGTGAATTTTCTTGACAGCCAGCATAATAAATATCAGAAATAGAAATTGCAGAAAATGCAGTGTAAGTCTTGTTAACTATGGTACACCCCCATAGATGGTCAACATCTAAGTTGACCTCTTAAATCTTGAAGTAAACAACTAGTGGACAGACCATGATAACAAATTGAGCACAAGAGGTTTTGTATTGTTATTGGATATAATTTTTAATTTCAAATCTGAAATCTAATCTCAAAATACTTCCCAAATTTTATATTTTTTAAAAAGGTCTGACTTTGATAAGACCTTTCGACATTCAAGACATTGCACAGAGCCAGAAATTATTTGTAAATGGAAGTGTTAAGTCTCTTTCATAGAACACATAAGTGGCTGTAAGTTAAAAGGCAGCCCTCCTTGCATGCAAGTTTGATTTTAACTAATGGATGTGATGTATGGGACCTGTAGTGAACATAGCATGTCACTTTGACCTCGCCCTTTGAAAAACATGAACTATGAGCTCAGGATTGTTTAATCCATGTCGTAACATTGTTGCAAAAAAACAAGCAAACTCCTCCACATACACCAGATCACATACACCAGAATTATAGCTGGTACAAATTCCAAAACAATGGCAAAATTTACAAGGTGACCATGAACATTGCCAGGATGCCCAATCTGATGCCTTGTTGAAAATCAAAATAGTCAAATATTATTTTCTTTCACACTTTTAGAAGTTTTAGCGTTACATTTATGTGTCCTCAGAAATCCAATCCTTATCTAGACTATGCATAGAGATAAATATACTAAAAAACAATGACAAACAAATGACTTATGTACATGTAACTATGTACATAACAGAAACAATAAGGTATCAGGTGTTATGGGTTGGAACTAATCAATTGTCTGAATAGTAATAAAACCTTTATTTGCACTCCGATTGAGCTTGATCAATAGAGAAACATTTGCAAACACATCAGTGGGATCATAAGGAGAACAATGGAATTACATTTGCATACACATCAGTAGGGTTAAGAGGACAAAGGGAAAAAAGACTTTCTGTGCTACGGAATACTGGAATTTATTTTTTCAGCATTAATAAAAGCCTGCTACATACATAATTAAGGGCAAATTAGCATGTGCTTACGTAAATAGACAACTTTCAGTACCTTGTAAGATCTGGTGTAATCCGAGTGAGTCATAGATCCTATTCTACAATCTAAACCAGGGTCATGTATCGCAGAGTGACCGTCTATTTACCTATATTAATATGCTTTCAGATGCAGGTCTCTAATAGAAGTATTTAGTGTGTGCTGACTGAATTAAATTATGACTTATTTTGATCCCAGATGCACCTCTACCATAAACAGAGCACACACTTCTAGCATAGTCAATACTTATGATTGAAACACAAAGCCAGGCACCACAGGCATCGTTTTACGTTTTCAGGCTTCAAGTAAAGCTTACTGAGAAAACAAATCTAGCTTGTATTGTATTACATTTATATACTCAGTTTTATCACAATAGCCCTCCATCCTCCTCCCTCCCATGCATTTCTACTAATCAAGTGCAACAATTCAATAGGGTACGCTGTTTGATCATGCTTGGGTCGATTTAGTGAAAACAGAAACAGTAACCACAGAACATTGCTCATCAAATGTGAAAAACATTAACAATAAAAGGATATTTTTAACAATACTACCATTATAAAAAAAATTGATTGCTTTTCTAGTTTTAACAAGAAATTACCTCATGAATATTTAATGATGTGCTAAATGACACAACTGAAATTAACTACTACCGCATTATTAATTCATAATTAATTAAGTTGTATTCCCACTTTGTATGATCTGCCAAACATATCTTAATGACCCTATTAAGCATCATAAGGGCATTGGCTTTTGTCCAATTTGTGAGAAATCTTATTCCAATTGGAACCTGAACTTGAATTTAGAACTCCCTGCTCGAATAAAGTATGAATGTATGCAAATGGCCAAGAGTAATTACAACAATGAAAATTATGTCAGACTTAATAATTGGACACTATGACCTATAATACAGGCTAGCTTCAGCACTCCTAAATTCAGGATTTGTTGCTGTGTCAACTGATTTTATCATTTCTCATGGTGACCACAATAGTCAATAGGAGGTGATCTACATTTAAGGTAGCGGGACTATTATTTGCATACTTGTTTTCATCTTCTAATTGTGACTAAATGACTACAAATAGACCCGGGAAAGTACATATTTTTAGAATCGCCAGACTTCAAGCTTTTCACAAGTGTATTTTGCATGCCCGTATCTGCAATCTACGACGCGTTACTCAATCAAAGGTGAAAAATTACTTTTTCTGTAAAAAGAATAATTACACATTTATGCTGGCGATAAGAAGTATTTTTTTCACTTTTCCTAGTTGTTCAATAGTCTGGTAAATTGAATGTGTCTGGTCAGTTTTATTCAAACAAGCGTTTTAAAAAATAGTGTCCTGAATTTCAATTACTGTTTTAGTCGCATTGCCCCCAACTCAAACCACAACTCGTTGGTAAATAATCGATGAAATAGTTTGTCTGGACACATTCAAGTTCCTCTCATTGTCACCTTA